GATCGAAACACGCGCACACATGCAGCTCTGCGCTGACAATCGATGGGCGGAACTGTGTGTCTGTCGGTCTGCATGTGTCGTTTGTGTGAACGAATCTATATGCAAGATTATATACAAGTAGCATATGTGCAGGCATATGAGCCCATCTTGAGAGCCCCAGGAGCAGCACATGCAGCAGGTGGGCATGGCTGCCGGGCACATCCTGAAGTTGAGGATTGCTTCAGAGCGAGAATTGCGACAGCTGCTGACGTTTCAGTGGCCAGGAAGCGCCTGTCTGAAATGGCTCCCTCCAGAAGCACCCCGGAAGGCTCAGCTTCCAAGTTTGACCTTCAGAGACTCCTTCCTTCGTCCGTCACCATGGAAAGGCAGGAAGTCGAGCACGTCAGGCCGACGTGTCACCTTCGGAGCTGCGGAGGCGCACTTGCAGAGCTCCGCCGCTTCGTTCTTTGTGTCTTCTGCGAGTGCAGGTTGAGGCGCAGTTGCCTGTGCCCGGCCAGAAAATTGCAGAAGAAGCAGGTTCCGGAGCTGTTCCTGCCCTCGCAAGTGTTCCTCAGCTCTCATGTATTTCGGTGTGTGGTTCATCTCTACTAGTAGTGATTCGGCTGCTGGGTTGTCCCCTGGCTGTAAGGCGCAAGTCCCATACTCCAAACCCTAAGCTGCCCTAAGTGAACCATGGTACGCTTGGCAGGAGACTCCTCGAATCTGCTGGTGGGAACCTTTGATGAGGAGGCAGTTCTTTCCAGCCGTTTTTTGGGGAGGAGTTTCCCCGTTGGGGATGACAGAGCAGCAGGAGGCTCCTTAGGTGGTACTTCGTCGATCTGACTGTTGCCTTAAACCCTAAGCCCGAACCCGAAACGCTAAGCACAAAGCCTAGCAGTGCCTCAGTCCGCTTGTCGTTAGCTTCGGGATTCCCGACGAGGGTTTAGGGTTTATAGGGTTTAGGGTTTAGGGGACCATGAAAACCTAAGCCTTAAGCCCAGGAGCCTACGAAAGCCCTGATCGCTTGTAAACCTTCAATCCCAAACCTTTGACCGAACCCAGAGCCTCATGCCGCTTAGTGAGAGTGTCCAGTATCTCCATAGTGTCCCTCTGTAAGCATGGTGCTTTTAACCCCAGCACCGTAAACCCTGGTCCGTCTTTTCCACTGATTGTACGTACCTCAGGAGTCTGCCGCAAGCTTCCAGGAAGCTTTGCGGGCTTGGCGGGGAGGCAGGGGGGATTTAGCGCCTATAATCTGGGGTTACATATAATTTAGAAGAGCTTTGGAGTTGAGGGCTTACAGGGTTATGGGGATTCGGGTGTAGGGCTCAGTGGTTGACGGATTAGATTACTAGACTTTGTGTTCCAGACGGCTACGGCCTCGACCACGTCTTTCAGAGCTTGCAGAGTCGGAGGCCCTTCTTGGATGTGTTGGCCTTTTGCTTGAGTTTGCTGAGGGGCTCCGGGTTTCGTGTTGGCAAGGGCTCAACCAATCGTAGCATAGCCTAGCTGAAGTTTCGAGCAGCAGGTGCAGATCCTTCTCCAGCCGCGGTGCAGGAACCGAGTGCAGCCCCCAAGGCGGGGCTTTGACCCGTCAAAGCCGAACCCAAAGTCCCAAAACGCTGCCGTGAGGCCTTCGGATCCTTCTGGTCCAGTCTGGGTGACAGCGAAGTGAACCTGGAGCGCCCGGCACCCAGTTCCACAGCAACCTTTGTAACTTGTAGTGCCCTCATAGTGATCCTTATGGTGCTATTGTCGAAGTACGTTGGTAGTACCCTGATTGTACCTTGACCTGTTGTACTCTTACAGTCTCCCGTCGGTACCGGATCCTTGGAGTTCCGTGGAATCCTCGGAGCGTCAGCTGACTCAGGTGCTAGCACTCCGGTGAAGCCACCGGCGGAGACCATCTCGACCGAGACGTGCTGCGAGCTTTTTTGCTCGGTTAAGTTTAGGGGCTCCTATAAGGGTTCCTATAAGGTTACAACAAGGTTCCTATCATATCCATAAGGATTCAAAGTGTTCAGGGTGACAGGTTTCCCGGGACTGGGGGTATAATTCATACAATCACTAGCAAGAGCCATGCAGCAAGCATGGGGATAGTAGCCTAAAGTCCAACCTCTAAAACGCTGGAGTCTTGTCTTACCTTAAACCCTAAAGCCCCAACCCCAAACTCCTAAACCCTAAACCCCTGGACCCTAAGCCCTTGTAGCGTCTTTCCTAAGCCCTCTTGGCAGGCAAGGCAGCGCATCACCGAACGAAGAGAAGCTTTGCTGTTACCAGCTTCTTCCTCGGCTGAGTTTGAGGGTTTAGGTTTGGGGTTTAGGGCTTAGGACTGTAGAGTTTAGTTTGGGGTTTTGGGTTTCAGGCGAAGGTCTAGAGAGAGAGAGTCAAATCATTAAAGGCTTTTCGTTCGGGGCGTCAAGTCAGCAGATTCTGGCCAGACACTTCTGACGGATCTTGGTTGAGTGCCTCCTGGCTGGAAATCTTTTCAACGATTCGGGGTGGCCGAATCATGTTATTCCGTTACAGTCCCTATGTAGTTATGCTCTGCGTGACCCCAAAGCCCTATTCGAAGTCTCAAGGCCTCTACATTATCCCATTTTGTGGTAAGCTGCAGACTTGCGGAACACGCTGGCTTCTGTGACTTGCAGAAGGGCCCTCATGCAACAGCTGCCAGGTTGGAACCATCTCTATCCTGATGCCCATGGTGTACGGGCCACGAATCCCAGCACCCTAAGCCCGACATGATGATGATGATGTTGATGAAGATGATATGCTGCTGATCATCATGAGTATCATCACCGGGCCCGAAACATGGCGGCCGCTTAGCCAGCTCGAGCTGATCAGGTGCTTCAAGCAGTTCTACGCCCGGCAGAGCCGTCGTGCTTGGGGTTCAGCGGCTTTTTGCAAATCCGCAATGAAGCAATTCTCAGAGCTTGTTAAAGCCAGCGGAGGGATTCTTGCACTGTTGACGCAGCTCTGGTTCTATCCTGGGGTTGTATGTTCGACATTGGGGGAACCTGGTGTGATGGACAGAAGGAATTCCGGCTCCATGTTCACGATGCTTGGAGTGTCCTTCTCTGGAAGTCCTTGAACTCTCAACCTCAAGCCCTCAACCCTCACCTAAGACTTAAACCCTAAACCCAGTGAGTCTTGCAATCTAGAGCATGCCTTGCAGGTATGCAGTGGAAAGAGAGGTCCCGACGGAATTCGGCGGCGGTTGCAAGCGGCTGTGCTCTGAGGCAGCGATCATTATCACTATCATTTGTAACAACGGCTATCACCGTCACCCTTCTGACGATGATTATTATCATTTCTGGTTGAGATGGGGCATGGTGCGATCCTGATGTCAGCATTTGAAGGTTCACGGGCAGTCCGAAGTAGGGTTATAAGTATGGGTAGGCATACTTCGATGTCGTGGCAATCCCAAATGAGGTAGGGAACCATCTGGCAGCAAGTGAACTTGCAACGTGCAATCCAGGTTGGGTGGTGAACACCTATGATCGTAGAAAACTCGACGGATACACGCTTCTGCACCACATCACATACATACACAGCTACGCAATGCACAGGCTTGTGAACATTTGGGTGCATCCTGTTTGAACAATCTAGCAACTCTAGCCATTACAGGTTTGGATCAGGCTCCTTCCCTTCTGAAGCTCCAACAGCAGTCGCATGTCCAACATGCAAAGGAACATTTTTGCGGAAGAGGTGTGCCAAGGTGGTTGGGGGATGAAGGCTCTCTCGCTCTGTTGCGTGCCAACCTCCGACAAGTTCCCGCCGTGTCCCAGCAGAGTCTTGAACTTGAGCTGTAGCGAAGATCAGAATGGTAGTCGTAGTGTTGACCGTGACAGCTATATAAACTTTAAGCATACTTCCAAAAAAGGTGATACGAGTGGTCGTTGAAATTGGAATACGCGTGGGAATAAGGCTAACAACGCAATTGCCAGAACCTTCTGAACCATGCTCCAATGGAGCAGCGCTCCTGCCCTAAACCCTAAACCCCTGAACCCCTGGCTCTAAACCCTAAACCCTAAACCCCCAGACCCCTAAATTAGAGGCCTGTGCGGAAGCTTGGGCTGAAGCCACGCGAGCGAAGGTGGAGGCGAAACAACCTGGTGACTGGTTTTGAAGGTCTTTCGGGCTTAGGCGTTTAGGGGCTTCGGGTTTAGGGGTGTAGGGTTGGAGTGTAGGGCTTAAAGTTCAATCTTGGAGGTTTACTTGGGCTTCGGGGCTGCTACGGGTCAGGTTTAGGGGGTTCAGGGTTTGGTTTTGCAGCTTCTTGGGTTTGCACTGGTCCGGTGGTGGCATGTAAGATTGCCTTTGCAGACCTCCTAAGGCCCAGCAGCAAGGTTTTGGGGAACCACCATTAAGGGTTTAGGGTTTAGGGCAAGTTTAGGGTTTAGGCTTTAGGGTTTTGGGGTATCTTTGAAGAGAGCCGCAGTGCCTAACAAGGCCCGGTCGACTTCCCGAGCTGAATCGCTGCGACGTCGCTCGAAAATCCCTAGACCCTGAGCCTGAAACCTCACAGCCCGAAACGTTGAACCTCAAACCCTAGACCCTAAGCCCGATACCTGAAAACCTGAGCATCAAACCCTAAACAGCAAACCCTAAACCGTCAACCTTAAAGCATAAGTTTGTGCCGTCCACAGGACCGGGGGAGCGATGCAAAGCGGTTCCAAGTCGCGTAGGGCTAATCCTGTATATGATGTTACTAATTAACAGTACTGCAGGTAGTCCGTATTTTTATCTAATGGTATTCATAGTACTATAGGTTCCCCCCAAATCTTATTCAAATTACTCGAATTGTATTATAACCCTAGGCTACCCCAAATCCAATTCAAACTATTAGGCCCTACACTAAACCCGTCCAGAAGCCCTTAATGGCCCGAATGAAACCCGTAACAGAACCCATTCCAACTTACACCAGTTTACGAGGCCGTCCGGCAGCGCCAGACAAAGCTGGAGCAGATTTGGGCAGCCTGGCAGAAGAAGTCGGGACAGGTGTTCAAACTAAGAGGGTTCAGGGTTTAGGGTTCAGGGTTTGGGGTTTAGACATCCTTTTTTTGGCTGAGTTGGACGAAAGGGAGCATACTGTTGCCGCCCCGGCGGCAGAGACATATGTCCTGGAACATTCATTTGCTTTTCTGATGGCACTGACAACGACTGGGAAGGCCTTGCCTACAACTTCCACGAGTTTTGTGTTATCATTGCAGGTTACATGATGATATCTGATATTGTTCTTAATGATGCTGCCCGGTGTTTTTTTCGGTATTGCACTCGCTATTGTCAGTATCATTGCTATCGTCAAGCTCATGCTTTGGGTTCTATGCGGCCGTCATCCCTGCAATTACCGGTATTCGTATTGTCGCTATCCTATTATTACCGCGAATGTTCCGGCTACTGCCCCTCCTTCTCTAGCTCTGCCCCTTCCTCCTCATGTTCCACATCCTCCTCTGCATCCTAAACCAGGTCGTAACACCTTGAACTGAACATCAGACGGAAACCTGCGTTCAAACGAAAGCCTGAACTCTAAATGCCTTCACTCCCTAAACCCCTAATCACCCTAATCTCTAAACGCGACAATCTCTAAACCCCAAACCCCGAAGCCTATTTGCCTAATCCCTGAAACCCCCAACTTTCTCAACCCCCTATGCCCATGATGCACGACACCCTAAACTCTAACGCCTGAACCCCTAGAAGCCCGAAGCTTCCAACGGCCCTGCAGCTCATGGTGTGAGGAGATGGAGCGGGCGTTGGAAGCAGGGGAGACGGGAGAGGCCAAGGTGACGGAGGCCTGGGGAATCAGGGTTTCGGAGTGGGGGGATAAGGGGTGGGGCTTGAGGTCGCGGGCTTAGGGCCAGGTTGCACTTTCCAAGGGTTTTTGGGTCAGTTTAAGGTTTTCGGGTGACCCTACATCCTGAATCCCTTCTCTGCCATGAGAGTGAAGAACGATGTTGTGCGGGCTCTGCAGGTTGGCGCTGCTTCTGCTGAAGATGCCGCGAGCTAGGTTCGAGACCCGGGTCTGGTTTCGCGATTCGGATATCGGGCTTGAGGCCTGAGAGCGGGGGTACGGAGCGAGAGGGCTGTAAGTGCAAAACTGGTTTCGAGCGGCTTTGCAACCTGCAACTAGTGTGATGGCTGCAGGGTCTCTTGAGTTTGCAGATTGAGTGCTCTGCACAAGTTGATCTTTGCCAGGCACTACAGACCCTCTGCTGGACACTGTCGCGCTGTGTGGCCCGGAGTGGTTCCCGAACATCACGGAACCCTCACTTTGTTAAAGAGTGTGGCTTTGGTGAAGTGCTAGGAGGACGCGCGAGCAGCGACACAGTCGTTGGAGACGTTTCACGCAAACTTGTCCGACCGCTGCGAATTCGTAGTGGCCGCAAGTGATCGAAGGTGCATGAAAGGTTCCCCTGCCAGGGCGCCAGGTACTGCGGTGCTTGTAGCGATCTCCTTTGTTGTGTCGAATGGCAAGTGCAACCCCATGGGAGGCCAAGGATAGGAAGCCAATTGTCCGTGTGACAGCCAGGCTTTCTCAGCAGAGCTAGCGAATGTGCAGAATGCATGGTTGACTATGGTTGACTACATCAATCACCTACAGCCGTGAACCCTGAACCCTTGAGACTCTTTGACATGATTCAACAGGAGACGGAAAGGCACTCTCATTCTTGCCACTGCGACGGGATCGATGGCTGCTACTGGTAGCCCGGACGATAAGCTCTCCTAATATTCACAAGTACAAAAGATATGCAGATGATCAATGGAAAGAGCAGCAACAACTGCATTTGAGCTGATATCCCAGCCCTAAGCGTTAAACCTGCTGCCATGGCAGATGTAAGCTCAAGCAGGCCAGGCGTTGCTGGAGGCTGAGTAGACAAAGGGTGTGGCAAGGGCACGTTCAGGAATTCGGACTTTATGACTTCTTGCAAGTTCAAATCCGTGAGTCCCAATACTCAGTTACGCTCCTTGGCGGACTCAAGACTCCCTTGTTCTGAGGTGCGGGTCATACAGGGTCCGGTTTACGGGTACGCGACAACGGCCTTCTCCGGCGTGACCAAGACCATTCAGCCACAGGCCGCGCTGCAACACACGCGAATGCTCTGATAACCGGTAAGGCCTTGCTGTGGCTGTAGACTCCTTCGGGCCGGGACGTGGAAGAAAGGAAAGGTGACTGCGAAATAGGTCTGACGATGCGTACCAACCTGGGACCAAAGAAGCCCTCCTTGCTGATGCAGTTCCAGCAGACCAGAAGAAAGCATGTCCTGAGTTAAACTGTGTGTGGAGGATCCAGCAGCACTTAGCAGCACTGTAATAAGCCAGCCACTATGGAAAAGATGAAGGCTAGGACCAATGTGGTTGTAGTGGCAGCAGCCATCATCGTCGCCGCTAGAAGAACAACAGTAATCGTAATGATTTGGGTGGACATATTCTAATTTTCGTCGCCACAGCAATAGTAGTACTAATAGTAGTAGGAGCAGCAGCTGCAGCAGCCACAGCGGCAGCGTGGACATGGCAGCAGCAGCGGCAGCGGCAGAGGCCTCAGCCGCAGCGGCAGCAGCAGCAGCAGCAGCAGCAGCAGCAAGAAAAGCAGAAGGAGGAAAAGTTGCAGTGCTCGGAGCAGGAGTAGGAGCAGCAATGGGCAGCAATAGAATAGAATCCGCAGGATCTACCGCACCGGCTGCAGTAGAAGCAGTTGCTGTGCTAGCCAAGACCGCTGTATGTCACGGGTGCGCCGCGCTGAGCTTGTGCCAGGTCCAGTGGCCAGCCTATGTCGCACAGCCTAGTGTCCAGTGCAGGACAGCCTGCACCTGGACATTCGATGAAACCTTGAAGGGAAGTATGTAAGACTCAGAATTCGGCCGCCTCATGCATCACTCAAGGCCTGACAACGACTGAGTTTCAAGAGAAGTTTCTACATTACATATTTTATGCGTATATGTATATGTATATGTATATGTATATGTATATGTATATGTACATATACACATACACACACCTACATACACATACACATATATGCACACACACATATATCACATATATATATATACACACACATACATACATACATACATACATACAGACCGACCGACCGACAGACAGACAGACCGACAGACAGACAGACAGACAGACAGACAGACAGACACAGACAGACAGACAGACACACAGACAGACACACATACATATATACATACGTACATACGTACGTACATACATACATACATACATACATACATAGATACATAGATACATAGATACACAGATACATACATACATACATACATACATAGATACATGCATAGATAGATAGATAGATAGATAGATAGATACATACATACATACA